CTCTCTCTCTCAAATTGTTGATAAGTCAAGTATTATATGAGGCTATTTTAAAATAGAATGGCAAATAACATTTTTATGCCCTGATATAATAATAAATCGTTCTTGCATATAATGTCAAAGGCATCATTTTAAGCAAGAATATTTTGAATACTCTCTAAGGTGCTTTAATTTTATTTACGTATGCAACATATTAGTATATTACGCATTCGTATATCTTATCGCCGGTTCGCGTAAAGGATCATGGCAATGTCTCACGCCATGTCTTAGCGCCGAGACACTACCGTGTCTTTATATAATGATCTCCACGAAAACAAAGCGATTTAGAAATCGCTGATATCATTACCATAGGTCTGCTCGCATTGCTTGCACTTTTTGCACTTAGCATTTTCGCTTTCTTTTTTTTTTAACGTTCAAATATAAAAATGATTCACACTATCTGCAGGAGCCGATATATATATATAATATATATATATATATATATATATATATTCCATTAAGAAATGAATCAAAGATTAAAAGTAAAAAGTTATGATGTCAATAGTTTTCAAATATTGAGTCTTTGAAACTCTCTAACCACAGAACATGAAATTCGCGCCGTTAGGTGCAGTGCAATTAAGCGGCCAGCCATACGAGTGCTTTGACGGTTACTGATAAACGACACGATATTATATATACCAAATGATTTTTGCGAAGGTTTCATGAATTTTTTGTTAACATATACTGCTGTATTCTTAAATTGAGCCAATTTAATTGACGAGTTAAGTAATATCGCCATTTTTTACTAATTTAAATAAGCTCAGGGAAATAACAAAAAAAATAGAAACGTGCATATGCTCATAATGCGATTCAGGTAATCTTTTCAAACCTTTTAAGCACTACATACTAAGTTATACGAAAATTAGACAGAAGGAAAAATGTGTGCTTCAGAGAATCAAATGTTCAGTTATTTATACAAATAATTTTAATATATATCTAATCTTATTTTTCTTTTTTTTCTTTCACTCAATAGATACATATTTAATAAACAGAAGTAAAACTTAATAATTTTAATGTAAATTAATAATTTTAAATTCGGGGATCTTTCTAAAAAAAAAAGAAAAAGAAAAAATAAAGAAAATAAATAAAGTGCTTAGACTTACTACTTGTTGAAAGTGGGCCAAAAGAATGAGTCAATTGCCTTAGTAGACTTTGTTGGGTTGGTCCTCGATCATAGTATAAGAATATACAATAGAGATAAGCAGCGTCGGCACCTTTTATCTTTTTGAGATGAGTTTCTTTTCAAGCTTCATCATTTTGTCTTTGATATATGATCAAATATCATATCAATAGTATTGGAACCACCGCCTATACTCAACAAAAAAAACTAGATAGATAAAAAATCTTAACTTTTCAGAATCTTCCATTATCTTTCAAATCAATGATCAGTCAGATACATCCACGTACAGTCACGTTGCTTCATAAAATTAATTACTATAATCAGCTATTCAGGAGACACGATGTCTCGTCGGCCTTGGCTAAGATAAGCGCAGCGATATGGCATGATTGCAGTAACAGAGAACTTACAAGTTCTCTGCTTTGATCGGGATTGCTTCCAAAAACATGGCCACTTATAAAGCGCAAGCAAATATGCGCGGCTGAAAACGGGCTCTTGTCTCTACTATATATCCTTACTACTGTGCTTCAGTGATAGAAAACGGTCTCGACTGGATGTCTCGTGGATGTACCGAATCTCGACCGGACGACTTGGAAAGATATAAGAATACTACCGCACTAGATCTCGACCACACAAAGTCAATAGAAATTGAATAAAATTGCTTGACTAACTGGTCGCGGATCGGCAGAATGTCAATTAACTGGCCAATTAACTAAACTTTAACTGACTCTGCTGTTAATGATCTATTTTAGATTAATTAGTAGTATCGGTTACGAATTGGATATTAGGATCGGTGTTACTTGTGGCCTAAATTTTTTGTTCCTTAACTCTCAAACAATGTTAGCCATTTTCGTCATCGATCATTTGCCGGATGTTCAATATCGATAGTTCAGAGCCATATGTGTCATCTTCAAATAACCGATACTGTTTCAATTTATAAATCCTTAATCTACTACTTCTTTTGTTCCTTAGGAGACTTCTTTTTTACTCGACACTTGTTCGAATATTTAATTTAGCAACATCCTTCTGAGCTAATTATTATTCTATAAGAGAGATCGTTATTTGGCTCATTACTATCGCAACTTTCTGTAGCAGAAATAGATGATTCACAGATAATACTTATTAAAAATTTTTATGATGATGACGAAAATCCTCACCAAAGAAAAAAATTGTGGAGTCTAGACGTAACATTTGTATATAAAAAAAGCAATATATAACACTACACACTTACACAATAGAATAACGTTTCAAACACAGAAATTACCTCGTTTTATCGTTTTGTGACAACAGCATTCAATCATAAAAATTGTTACTATACATAATTACGTTACGTTAATTGTCAATATATTTAAATTTAGTTGAAAATGAACCTGTGAATTCCGAAACGTACTTTTTTGATGTAACACGATAATAAATGTTTTTAATTGATATCTGTAATATTGTAGTATTATTCGATTACTGATAGTTAATTTAATTTATTTGATACATTTTTAAATAAGTAACTATGTGTTTTTTTATACCAATATGAACGGTTAACGGCCTAGTTTACATCGTCAAAACATTAGTATGTGTATTAAGCGCATTAATGCTTTAACATGGTTGCATCGAACGTAGTAAGAGAACAAAATAATGGAAATATTATCTTAATATATCATTTGAAAAAAATATAAGTCAATCATAATACCGATTTTGATTAAGATAGCCCTTAATACATTTCCTCCAAAATGCTTTTCATGCATTTACGTCGTGATTTATGTCATTTGGTACGCATCTCGGTTCAGTGCAACACGCTCGCACTAAGTAGAAGTATTGTATTGAACTGATTCGGCAGCGTTTATATCGTGCATACTAAATATATAATATAAATTTGATACGAATATTAGTACCTGATACGCATATCAAGTGCATGATGTAATCTAGGCCAATAATAACGCATGTCATTTATGTGCAATAAAGCATTATAGAAAGTTCAAAAACTTTTCATTAATTCCAAAACACTTGATTTGACAACGTATTATATTTATTTACTTCAACACTGGTTTTTATTGTAATGCTGAATAGTTATTTTGACGTTTTATTAAAATATTGCTAGAAATATAGGAATTTAACATAAAATTAATTATAAATATAAAAATTTAAAGATGTTCGAATTAACAATTGATCTTAATTCGCGAAAAGGATTGTTGTAATTCTTTATTTATAAATTTATTCTTATATTCTTATCATCTTAAAAAGCATTACAATGTACTTTTATCGTAATCGCAAATTAAGATAAAAGAAATTTTCTGATGGTAAAAAATAACGTGTTTACACAAATTAAGCAAACAATTAATCGTTCTTATCTCTTATGCATAAAAAGTATAACATATTCAGAGCTTACATTTTTAAGTATTAATGACATAATTAAAGTATTAATGCATTAAATTAGCCGAGTATTTCAAAAGTTTATTACATCTTATGGCGTTAAATAATTTATAATAGTTTAATGTTGAATTGTTGATTATGTTTGTTTGAAACAAATCCTTTTTGAAAAAAAAAAAACGATTTTTTTGTACCATTAATGAATAAAAATTATTAGCTTACAATTAAAATTCCAGCTGTGTAAAGAGAATAAAACTATTGCTTTGTCGTTTCACTTATGTTCTGTTCTTCCAGCTTCTTAATTCTTTCCGAACGTTCATGCACAATATATTCTAAGTTGTTATAAAACTCCGAATTTGCGACAAAAAAGCGTTTAAAATCACGACGATGCAAGCGAAGCAGCTCGCATATTTCTAAAGCGATAACTGATTCTTCTCTGCGTTGATTCGGATAAATCAAGCCAGCTTCGCCAAAGTGATCACCATCGTGAAGATGATATATCTATAAAGAATATCTTATTACTTAACTGTAATTTCAAATAAAGCATAGGATAGAGCGTGACTTTTTCGTTCATTTCTCACGATCGTGTATGTTTCTTAACAGCATACTGAACATTTAAAGGTCATACTTATATTCTGAAGCTGTCACTGTGATTATATAAGGTAGTTACAAGCACATTGCAAAAAGTTATTGTTTGTTGCCATAAATTTTATATTACTTTAAGATTGAAAGTAACGAAATAGTCCCGCTGTATCCTACATTTATTTTTTTTTTCTATGTAAATATTTTCAATTACTTCTTTGCCGGAAAACGTGATCAGTGCAACGGTTCCGCTAGCTATAAAATACATATATTCGCCTTCAGTACTGGCTTTGTAAATTACATCTCCCTTGAGATATATCTCTGGCTTTAACGAATCTACGACAAATCAATTTATTATCAAAATAAAAATCTTTAGCTTTCGAAATAAATAATAGTCGGAAATGGAAAACGTATACAATAGCAAGACCGCAATTGTACGGACGTTAAAGCATGATTGTGACAAATATTACACCATGTAGCATTACGTTAAAATAAATATAAACAATAAATTAAGTTTAAAACAGTTAAATGATAAAAATAACGATTTAATAAAAGTTATAAATAAAAAATTTAACAGTAATCAGAGATTATTTGCGTTACATTCATAAAAATAAAATTACGATATAATTATGATCAAAAGTACTTAGAAAAAAAAATAAGTTACCCATTTTAAGTCATATACGTATTTAGTATTGATTAATTTCTGCGACTGTACGAGATTGATATATTGTGATCACGAACACTTAACATTAATAGAGATGTGCGTATGACAGATCAATTTAATAAATGTTGTCACAAAAAGATCAAATATCTAACTACAATTTTGACTTATTTTTATGTGCGGAATAGCATACCTATATTATAGTATATTATCTCATATTTTCTGTTCTTTACTTAAAGAGAGCACAACTAGATAGAAGAAGTACATATATTCAATACATTAATGTTTTAGATAACATGCATGTGTCCAAAATTAGAATATAATATGTATTAATAACATAATGCTCCAAAAATTCCTTAATGTTTTTAAAGAATCTTATGTCGCGATTTTGTACGTGATTCTGTCTGAAATACTTATTTATAATTGTTATTTAATTAAGAAAAGTAATAATTAATCTTTATATTATAATTGTGATAATTTTATAAAAATGATAATTTTGTGTTAACATATAATCAAGAATATTTATGTCTTTAAATGTTATTATTTAATTAAAAAAAAACTTATTACTTAATTAAAAAAAAATATCGAATAATGAAAAATGATTATAAATTGACATTATACTTGAGATGATACTTAACTTAAATAATAAAGTTTGTATATAAAATTCAGTCGAAAAAGACTTTATTTGCAATTATTATTAAATTTGAGACAAATTATAAATGCATTCGGTAAAACAATAAATATAAACAAACAAACAAATTAATGACTTGAGAAAACTCTTTTTTTAAATATCAATATAATAATATCAATTTAAAATTAAAATAAGTGCAAGACCGAAATATTATGTCAATGATACATGAAATAATGTCTTCAATAAAATGTAAATATTAAAATAATTTCCATATAACTGTCCTTTTCGGTTACTTGATGTTATTAGTGAACATGCCTAGTATTTCAAAATAAAGTGTTGCTACTCGGGGTAGTAACAATTATACAATAGTATAGCAGTAACAACAAATATTATTATTATTAATACAAGAGAAAAAAATTACTTATTAAATCACCAAGAACATTACGGGGCAAATTGCGAAGAACCATAATATCTAGCAGTCTTTGACTACTATGGAATAGAATTTCTTGATTTAAATGACCTAAAGGAGTGTTGGAAAATATAAGAAGAAAATATATACTTTATAAGTTTATCGTTTTAACATTCTAGGAATTAATTAATAATTCAACCTTCATATTCATTTTCTTTGTTTTTAACTAACCCGAAAGAATATTAGATATAGTATTCTCTTTGAAGAAATAGTCATAATAGCGATATTTGTAATAGAAAATCAGCTTGTTTTGTAAATATAGCGGAAGCTTCTTCTGATGAATATATTCTTTTACTTCGTGTATGATTCGTTGATATTTGAGTTTTGGTTTTACAGACGATTCCAAGAGTTGCAGGATCGTAACTGTGATCATAAGAATTCTCTTACTGTCGAGTTAATTTTTTTATTTTATTTCTATTTGGATAAATGTTTATATTTTACAGGGGAACACAACTCCAATGACCTTAACGTATGTTGTCAAAGTCATGACCCTGAGTGACCTCCAACAGGTTTTAGTTGACGTTATTAACAAAAGAAGCGTATTAAAAAATAGCGTCTCATTTCTGCACAACTTCCACGCAAAGCGACTCCCACCCCACCTTCCTCCCTATTTAGGGACGCACGACTTCCACGCGAAGCAACTTGGCGAGATGGAGTGAAACTCGCTTCGCATGGACAATCGTGTGCCCCTGGGCAGGGGGGAAGATGGTGTGGGAGTCGTTTTGGGTGAGTCGTGCGCCCTCAAGCAGAGGGAGAGGTGAGGTGGGAGTCGCTTCCAGTGGAAGTCATGGGGAGATGGGATAGGAGTCACTTTGTGTAGAAGTCGTGCGTCCCTAAACAGTAATTAAGATATTAGTTCTTAAATTTCTTTTGTTAATAACTTTTTAACGAATAAGTCCGCCAACTAAAACCTGTTGGAGGTTACTCAGGGTCATGATCTTGACAACATAAATCAAGGTCATGATCATCGGAGCTGGATAAAGTAAATATTTACCTATATTTGTAAAACAATTATATTTGCTAAAAGATAATATTAATAAAAACAAAAAAATTGCTATGAAATGCAATATTAAAAATTTAAGGTAATAAGAAATGATCCAATACCAATCAAATAAATTATGTAGCCTTTTCCCAAGAGAAGAAGTATGCATCTTATTATTGTGTCCAAACTACCAAAGTTTTTGAATTCTATAAAATTCGAACCTATAAAATTACTTATGCCAATATGCACAAACATCAAATAAACTTCCCAGTCGGACATATTATGAAGTTTTCTCGGAATATAATTTGCATCTAAATTCTGAAATTATTCCGTATAAATAAGGAGATAGTGTATTATTATTTTTCATTTATTTAGTGTTTTAATACAAAGTAATTTAAAAATGTTCTTCACAGACCAATTCGCTTATAAAAATCACCGTACTTCCAAAGTTTTTCCTTGTACATGCATGACGATGTATGGAAAAACGTAACTTATACAGCTATTCCAATGAAAAATTAATAATGTTAAAATAATAAACCATATTGTTATATGTTGAGCTTGAGAGATTCCAAAACTCTATTAAAATATAATACAAATTAATTTATTTATAAAATTCAAAACATTAATAATTAAATGATAATTATATAATTATAAGTTACTGCATTGATGTGTTGAACATTTTGTCGTACTGTAAATATGCGAATGAATTTTAAAATAGGCAATAATTCAATTATAAGTAATATAGAATTTGAATTTGGACCAGGCGGTAAGATAAGTGTTGGGTAAAACCATGCATATGGTATCGAGCTGACAAAGTCAATGAAGAAATATCCTTTTATATAACGTCTGCTTAAATATGTAATTATACAGTTCTCACTTTATATATTTAAATAAGTAGGAAATAATGAGAAATAACGAATTTAATCTTCCAGACAACACCATGTCCAGACAACATAAAGATAACATTATATAACATAAAGTCATTTAATGATCTTTTAGACATTATACTGTAAGATATTTTTAAAACATTTTTAAGATGTTTAAGATTTTGTTTTTACATCTTGATTTTTGACATACGTGCTGTCTGAATCGTATATTATTATGACACAATCACCGTGCTATTAGAGTAGTATCAAGAAAAATCTCATATCCATCTGGAGATACAAATCCAGTAATAAAATTAAAGAATATGTCAATAATACAAACGGCGTAAAATGGATACACAATATTCCAATATTCAGGACCGCTGCTCTTTCCGATCCTGTAGAAGCATATAATATGTGGAACTGTCACAAAAATATATAAAAACGTCAGAGTCATTATTGTGTCCCAGTAGAATCTACGATAACGTATTCTCTGTTACATTTGTATCCACAAAACAGTTAAAGCTGATTTCGTAAATTTTCTTACCTTAACATACTACATGGATGAATCATCCATCGATAAGGTGATCTCGAGTGTCTTTTCTTTTCGAAAGCAACAGCTGCTTGGCTGCGTAAAATTAAACCTGTTAAAGGGTGTTGAGTAGATACAAGAATCAACTTTTGAAGATTTCGTTTCCACCGATTGTAGAATCTCGCGTTTGGAGGTAATTTCGGCAGATTGCTGCCGGATGTCCTCGGCAAGTCGCATATATGTGCGCGTAAATTCGTTCGTTTTATCAAGATATTCGAGTCTCGAATTGTCATTCCGTGCTCATATGGATGCTCATTGACCTATCATGACAGCAAGCAGGATAAGACGATCGCTTAAGATCTTAAGTCTTGTGTCCACGATGCTAGAAATCGATCCGAGACCTCGGATGAAGAATTGACCAATCGCAATGGTCATGTGATCAAATTGTTCAAACGTGATTTGTTAATTGTTTCTCTATCCGAGATCTCGGACCGATTTTTCTAGCATCGTGGATGTCGGGCTTTAAGGATATATTCACACAACTTGCATAGTCGCTTGCATAAATGTATACATATATGTCGTATAAAAAAATTACCCAATCACATATTCTGCCACCTATTTTATAATATACAAGTAATTATTTAAAAGCAGTTTGAAATTGTCGGCACATCGGATTATTATTACCATGGATTGTGGCCAAGTCTGCTGAATCGCAGAGAAATCGCAGACAGAAGACAGTTCAAGATGTGTATGCGGTTTTACGACATTTTATATGTTAATAAATAATCCCATTTATTTTCAGATGATTGTATATATTGGTAACAAATATCAATAACACTTTTTAAGTAAATTATGAAGCCTAAGAATCCAATTTTCCGTTCTGTAAGTAATATTGGAATGTTCTCATCATTTTTTAAAGAAACAATATATTTAATATAATCATCAATTTTGTTCACAATAATTGGAATATTATCTTTTGGTATACATTTTTGGGATTCAATTTTGCAAAATTTATTTCGTGAATTTAAAAGATCGAATATATCATTCATTATAAGACAGAATTGCACTGTTAGTTCGGTTTCTTTAAATTGAGGCATTTTATCTTTATTTTTAAGTAGATTAAAGCATTTACAACGCTAGTGAAATGATTTTTATATTGCAAAAAATATATTCATTTATTATTTAATATTTTATATATAATAAATTTATATGTAAAAAACTTTTGAAGGAGAGCATATATAAATTTAATATTTTATAAAACTTACACGAAACACATTGAATCCATTTTTGAGAATAATATAACCTTACACTTTTTAAGGAGAATTATATATTTACATAAAAATTGTGTTCATAAGATTATTTTAATTTTATCTTTTTCTGTTAGCGCACCTCTTTTCATAAATTGAATTTTGATCTGGATTAACTTTGAATCCTTCTTCAATGTTTTCTGTTAAAAATTTCTTCTTTTCTAACCTGTTTAGAAATAAATTATATATGTACATTTCTTCTCATAAATTTAAAGTTAATATGCAAAATTCTACAATTCAACTACAAACTACTACAAATTACTCAACTATTCGATTATTTTTGTTGAGTAGCGTATTTATTTTATTTTTATATTTTTATAAACTGCTACAAATATTAATCGTATATTTTATTTAAATATAGATACCTCACATTATTTTATAATAACATTTGTTCTTTATTGCACAATTTATCTTGTCAATCAAATGTTGTCATTTCAGTAAGCGTCAAAATTTATTTGTTGTATATTTTCTAATAGACCGTATAATAGGGCGTAAAATAAGTCCGTAAGTGAATAGTTTAAATCCATTTCTTACGTTCTATTCTGTTGTTGCTTATGGACTTACTCTACGTCTTATTATATCGGAAAATCAGCTTACTTCCGATGTGTCTTACAGCCTTGTGACTACTGCTACTGCCCATTGTAGACGACGCTTTAGAGTTACAGAATAAAATTAAGCAGTAAAATGTAAATGATAAGTGAATTAGCCAATCACAATAAAGACCGTAAGATCTTTAATAAGTAAGCTATAGCCAATCATACATTGATTTCCTTCTTGCTTACATTTCACTGTTTGTTTGTGTGCCATGGTCCTAAGACTTAAGCAGTAAGGAAATCAACATATTGGATTTGCTATTGCTGGTATTATGATTTTACAGTCTCTACTGTAATTTATCGATTCGCTTACTGTTTAAGGGCTATGGCACACAAAAATTAAATGCTTAAGCAGTAAAACGTAAGCACTAATAATTAGCCAATCGTTAATTACACTAATTAATAACGCCTTCAACCAGGAAGGATGTGCAGTGGATCTCGCTTCGTGTGAAAAGTCGAACACCGTAAGCAGGGGATCGATTGTGCATCTTCAAATAAGGTGAAAATTACAAAAGTGAGCAAATTCATAATTTAATTGGTCAATACCTAGTAATCTTTGCTCATTTTTTTGTAATTTTCACCTCTTCAAAATCCACAATCGACCCTCAGGGGGATAGATCTCACTTCGCGTGGAAAATTATTGCAAGGAAGGGAGGATTTGAGATAGTTCTTCACATATCATAGCAGAAATAAGACGTTTTTAAAATTTTTTTTGTATAATTTTTTAACGAATAACGAGTGACAACTAAAAACCTATACTATATATATATACTCGGAGGTCTGCATCATGACCTTGACATTATATGTCATCGGAGCAGAGTTCCCTGATCGAAACTTTTACCATAACCAGTAATAAATCCAATACAATTTTTTAGGGTGTCCGCGCACACTTTTTATAACAGTGATCGTAAGACGTACCGTAAGAATTAGCCAATCACAGTCAAGAATTTTCAAAAACTTTCAGCTCTGATTGGCTAACCTTACGGTACATCTTATGATTATTGTTATGAAAAATGTGTGGACCCTCTTACCGCTTACAAGTCCTACCAAAATATAGAAATACTTGAAATGTAAGATTTAAAACACACACTCACACACATCCTTTTCACAAATAAATTTTTATATAAGTTTTTCTTTTAACAGTCTTATGATACAGCTCGGTACACGGATTATCTGGCGGATCATCCTGAAATAAAACAGCTAATCGCGGATTATATCCAAATTCTTCTTGTCGGTAATAAATTAATTCTCTAGATAAACTTTGCACTTAATCTACTTCGACAAGTGGTATTTAATTTTTCATTATCAATTTTTCAGTAAAACCTGTCAATGTCATAGATTTCACGATACAACACTACAAAGCATTTGCCCAACAATTGAAGGTGTGGGATACCGATATATAAACAATGTAATCTGATATTGACATAAGTGGGATAGAACTTGCTTTGCGTGAAAAGTCATATTCCTTTAATCGATCCACCCCATACTTTTGCTTCTGCCAAAAGTTATCTGACTTTTCATATAAAGCAAGGAAATAATTATTAACTTTGATTATTAATAATTTTTCAACGAACAGCGACTACCATCTAAAACCTGTTGGTTACTCAGGGTCACAACATATGTCAAGATCATCGGAGCGGTATCTCCTAAAGTAAATAATTACCTTTATTTAATATTAAAAAAAAATACAAATGCAACATAGTCTAGACTACACCAAAATATTTGATTGAAATATACATAGTCTATGTAAAACTTCCGATTTTGCACATGTTGCATAATGAAGTAGTTTACCTTTATCATTTTCTGGCAGGTGTCATTTCTTTTTGCGAATTGCATATCACACAATTTTCCTGAAATTTAAGAGTACTGTAGTAATCCATAAATAATAAAATAAAATTAGCATAGACGATATATCATACATACAATCAAATCAAAATTAGGTAGACAATCTTCGTGAAAACAATGCTTACAATAAAATACAATTATATTCCGCGGTTCTAGAGAAAAAGAAAGTGAATTATAATCATGTAATTAGAATTATAAGTAACTAAAAAACTAATTACTTATAAATACCTCTTACAATTATTTTCCTATGGCAAGCTCCACACATTTGATCATCTGCAAAGAAAAAAATTTAATGATACTTTTTACAGAGAAGAATAGTTTACTGTATAATTCAATGATGTGCAAATCGTGGCTCGCGAACCGGCATGAAGCCAATTAATTATATGCGGTCCGTCAATTCATAATCAAAAATATTAAATGATATTTTCTATTTTACGTAAACTATTATATCAAAATATTATACATTATGCCTAACAGTTTAATAGATTTATTTGATATACATTTTTAAAAATCTTTAGAATTTATATCTAGAAATGTAACTAATATTTCATAAATAAATGACATGTTTATAAAACATTCGATTAATTATGTTAATTTTTTATTCCTTATATATAAGATAAAATTCAAAGTTAATCATTTTTGTAGTTACTTTTACACAAAGTGTATAATCGTGTAAAAACATCAAAATGAATAATATTGAAATAAATAGATAAAAAATTTTGACCTTAATATCAATAAAGAAATTATACAGATACTATAGAGCGGACTAAACTGAATAGAAAAGTCCTTTATAATTTTACAATTTTCAATAGTTAATGAGGTATTAATTTTTAAAGATAACCGAATAAGCATGTCCATCCAGCCTATTACTGCCAAATGTACGCCCAACGTTCGCTCGACGCGTGGGCCGTAAGAAGCGGGGATTGTCTAACAAGCACGCCGTACAAATTGTGGCGTGCGCGGCGCGGCGCGGGACGCTTGTCCATCCTCCACTATGTTCCAAATGACATCGATGGATGATGAATACAAATCTTATTAAGGGCCTCACGGGTGAGTCTTTGTCAAAGTAATGATTTTGCTTTTATAACTTTGTTTTTAATAACTTTGTTTTTTAAATGTTGCTAATGAATATATGTTATATTTATATTAAAATATCCAGATGCTCTCTCCACATAATCTTTCAACCGTTTGTGAGCAATTTTTGTTGCTCTGTCTACAGACTGATAAACATGGCGATAATTGGCCACGTATTGCATGTATCTCACTACCCAGACCGTATCCCGTTTGTATTCAAATTCCGAATCAAATCCGAAACAAAATTTAAAAAAAAAGCAATGTCCCTTGCACGTACCGTGAAGAAGCTGGAACAGAAAAAATGATTAGCGAAAAATTAAAGAAAATTATAAAGGGAAGAAATTAAAATAGCTGAGACGGAGAAAGTGTTACAGAAGGGAAGCTCCAAATGTAACGTGTGAAGAAAAAATTAAGAAGAGTCCTTCAAAAATGTTTAAAATGAATTAGCCATTAGTATTAAATATTAGAGCATGGGAGACAACTAAAAAAACGTGAACATTACCCTACGAGATTTAATATATGAAAAAGGCTGGGATAATCACTCTTAGGTTTCTCTCTGTCGAAACTAATTTCTATTTTGCGTTTTTCTTCAAAGAATGTTTCATTTGGTGCTGACAACTCTCGCGTTTGAGATAAAGTAAAAGTGAAGCCTCTATCCCCCCTCCCTCCGCAGAGGTTATCACAGAATCTAAGATCCAAATTCAATGCATGATACTGTGACCCTTTTCTTGGATCGGAAAACCAAGCAGAGGGAAAAAGAAGAAGAAAACAACCTTCGCATTATCTGTCCTTGTTTAACATGTGATAAACAACAAGAATGAAATGATTTCATGAGCGTTGTGAACATCAAGTGGAATGCACTTAAAAAAAATCTCATTTTAGTAAGATGCAAGCAATT